TTTTTTTGTGTAAATTTATTATGACACATCATATTTACACAAAAAAAATATATATACATAACGGTTGGAGATGCTCTAAGAAAGTATAATTAAAATAAAATAAGGATTATGAAGGTGTTGGACCCTTTAGAGCATCTCCAACCGCTGTGTGTGTGTGTGTGTATATATATATATATTGTGTAAATGTGATTTGTCAAGATAGATTTACACAAAAAATTTGGATTATTTATTTTTAGCTCTAGCGGTTGTTTTATAATTTTTGTGTAAAAATATATTCCCCAATAACAACCAACCACATGTCATGTCAGGACCCCACATAACTTTTACAAACATGCTTAATATAGGATTGACTCTTTTAATGGAATGAAAATGATAGAGGATAAAGGAAATATGATGATGTGGTATGTAAAAAGATTGTGCAAAATACACAATAATTTTACACATTGGTGATGTGATAATGTATCTTAACAGACTGCTTGAGATAAAAAAAAAAAAATTACACATCATATGTGGCAGTGTATATTTTACACAAAAGCATATTTTAACAGACTGTTAGAGATGCTCTTACAAAGACTTCTTCTACAATTATTTATAAAAAACTAAAGAATCCTAAAATAAACTATTTCCTGAGTTTAAGATATTATATTACATTTAAATTCTCAAAGTTAAGTCTGCTAACCCATAAATCACGTGTATTCTGCCTCTTTTGTTAAAGAGTTTGATAATAGTATATCCCTCATTATCTCCCAAAGTAAAGAAAAATTATATATAAATCCAAGAATTCAAATAAAACTTTATCACATAGATAAGAGTTTTATCTCTTCATCCACCAAGATTATTATGTGCATGCATCTTCACCAAACTAAAACTTTAAATTTTACCCAAAAGGTGGCTGCCATATCATCACCAAAATAGTGGCCACAAGATTTGCCAAAAATGGGTGAAAACAGATTCGTGCATTTCTTTTGTTTAGGGGACATAGTATTTACACTTCAATTATTTAAATAAATGACATAAAAAATTTAGGGTTAATTTCATTGACACCCCCTCAGGTTTGACCAATTTTCACCTTCAGACATCTTTTGAAAATAACTATCACCTAGGTCCAGTTTTATTTTTCCGTTACAATCGCCGTTAAAAATATGGGAAAAGACAACTTTGCCAATAATTTTTTAATCTCATTTATTCCAAACTATCAAGTTAATTAAATGACCATTATATCCTCATTATTACATCACCACCAACAACACACCCCACCATGTCGTTGATTCACCACGACCTCAGCCGCATCTCACTAGTGCTCTGCATCGCCACCTACGATCTCATCGATGGTAAGAAATTTGACATAACACAACAGAGGTCTCATCCGTAGTGGCAACTTCTTCCTCGCTTTCTCCTCTTTCTGTTACAATAGAGGTCTCATCTGCGGCGCCGAAAAATACAATCGCAACCCCATGTTATGACGACAACGAGATCGGTTAAGTATATCTACAAATTGGAAACAGAAAAGAAGAGAGATCAATTGCTTAGCTAAAATATTTCCTCGTAAGAGATTATGCAGATTAGCCCTCCAATTGGTGGCATGAAGTTAATGCATATAAAAATGAGTTTTTGCAGAATATTTCTTTATGTAATGCTTTAATTGAAATGTATATGAAATGTGTTAACTTTATGATCCGGAAATATAAGATGTAAAATAGGAAGATGAAATAGAGAAAGATTAAGAACACAATATATACATGGTTTGGCACTACCATCTCGGCCACCCCTCTTCTTTTCGCTTACAATTATTGGCACATTATGTTTATGATATTTCTATTTCTTCAAATAATCAATGTAATGTTTGTCCTCTTGCAACAGTCTCGTTTATCATTTCCAATAAGTTCCATTAAATCAAAATATGCCTTTGATTTAATTCATGTTGATATTTGGAACCATTCTCTACAACTTCTCATAATGGTTCTCAATTTTTTTTAACCATTGTTGATGACTTCACATGTTGCACGTGGGTTTATCTTATACGCCACAAATCTGAAACTTTCACTCTTCTTCAATCTTTCTTTGCACTTGTCTATATTCAATTCAATAAACATATTAAACAAGTGCGTAGTGATAATGGATATAAATTCAACATGTAAGATTTTTTTGCTGAAAAAGGGGTTTGTCATCAACACAATTGCGTCAACATACCCCAACAAAATGGTTTCTCATTGTTGCTCGTGCACTCCATTTCCAAGCCAATCTTCCTTTTCGTTTTTAGGGTAACTGTGTTCTTACAGCCACCTATCTCATCAATTGTATTCCCACTCCTCTTCTCTCAGGTAAGTGACCTTACAAGTTTCTTTTTTCTTCTCCTCTATCATATTCTCACTTACGTGTTTTTAGATGCTTGTGTTATGCTTCCACCAATGCCCAAAATCGTTCTAAGTTTAATGCTCGTGTTTGGCGTAGTCTTTTCTTAAGATATCCATATGGCGTCAAAGGCTACAAAATCCTTGATCTTGATCCATGGATGTATGCCTTAGTGTACAAACAAGTATATACTGTGTTTTTAATCTTTCTCTATTTCACCTTCCTATTTTGCATCTTACATTTCCGTATCATAAAGTTAACATGGTATCAAAGCAATAATCCTAGATTGTTTGCAACAAAGTTTACTTGTCTTCTTTGTGGCTTCATTTGGAGCTCTATCATTTTTTTTTTCCTTCATTTCCTTTACTGATTGCAGAAAGAAGTGGAGGAGAAGACTAGTAAAATCTGATCCGTTTTTGGTTCAGATCTCTCTTTGTTTTCCTTTTTCAATCAACCACACTCTTCCAAGCGACGTCCTACACCGTATGTCAGAAAAAGAAACTTAGTGTTTTGAGAGTTTCTCTCTCTAGAAATCTAGCTTAGTGGAGGTATTGGGTTGCAGAGTTGGAGAGAGGAAGAAAGAGGAAAAGGAAACAAAGACGAAATCGAAAGGGGAGGCATAAATAATGATATCTCAGTTGGGTTTGTGTGTATATATATATATATAGGAATTTAAGATCATAAGGAAATGATCTGGATTTGATTTTTCAGACAACTAAAACAATGGAAACAAAGTCTTTCGTAGTCACCGTCGGTCCCTTGCTCATTTAAGCCTTGTCGAAATGGGTCTCTAATGCTTGTCAAAAGTTTCACCGATTCATGGAGACCCTAGATTAAAAAAAGCTCGGAGCTTCACCGGAATCAATGGTGTTGCTGACTCTTAGAGCGCACAGGTGTAAGTGGAAGTGATATAATTTGTAAATTTACAAAATATTTAGATATATTTTTATTTAATTCTTTAGGCTGAAAAGTTGCTTTGAAAAAGTCAAAAGGGTATTTATATCATTTTACATTATGTCAAAACTATGCAAGTAACAATTAGAGTATGAGTAAAAAGCGGAGCAAAAGTTTGTACTTTGAGTAATAGTTATTTTTAAAAGATATTTGAAGATGATATTTGGCCAAACCTGAAGGGGTGTTAGTGAAATTAATTCAAAAATTTATAACTCAATAATACAGCGTAAAAGTCATTTTTGGAACAAACAAGGAGTGCGTGCAAATTGTTTATTTATTATTTTTTAATAATAATAATAATAATAAATAGAGTGAGGTTTTATATATATATATATTTAACACGTAAGGTTTCATAACTAAAACGGTCAAAAAAGTTCTGAAGACTCCCAATCTACTCCAAGAATGAAATCTTATCGTTTCTTAACATTTTAAGTCGATTTCACCTTTCAATTAAATTTGGATAGTATTAGAATTATAGGGTGGATGAGACTCGCAAGTGTTTTTCGAGTGGTTGAGTTGCTCTTTGTGCGAGACTATGAAAAAAAAAAAAAAAAAAAAAAACAATTTAGGGTATCGTTATGCTATATAGATGGTTTCACAACAATTCCATTGCCATTGACAAAATCCATCAATATTACTACCTCCCTCCCCATATAATTATCCACTTTGTAAATTGTGACTCACAGTTATATTTCGTAAACTGTGACTCACAATGTGAATTACAATTTACGAAATGGACAACTATATTAAGACGGAAGGAATATATAGGAGATTTCCAAATACATCACTACAAGATTTTGCAATCTCCACCCAAAAAAAAAAAAAATCACCAGTACTCTTATATAATTGAATCATTGTCAATAAAAATGCAATAAGAACGGTTACAACCAATAATAATAATAATAAAATAAATATAAATATAAATTTCATGAATTTTGACACCAGGATGGTTTTCATCATTCAATTATCGAGATCTGGAATTTCACGCGGGTTCTGATATAGTGGGGTGCTGACTCTCATTTGTTTGACTATATTAATCAATGATTCAAATATACCATCTTTTGCATTTCTTATAGTCACATTTCACTTCTCATCTACAATCTACAATCATTATTTCCATTCAAAATTATAAAACAAAAACTCAGTAGAATTGAAAAACCCCCGAACTAAAAAAAGTTCTTCAGTTGTCTCCATATGGACTGTTAACTTGGTTGTAAAATGATAAAATTAATATTTAATGTTAAATTAAGATACTAAAAATTATTATTTTAAAATGACAAAAATAGTAAAGGACCATTAAATAATGCTAAATTACAAAATTATTATTTAGTTTTAAATTATAAAATTGACATTGCTATTACAAAAATAATTTTAAAAAATTATTATCAGAATTTTAATTTAACATTAAATAGCTAGACACTTTAGCCATTTTACAACCAAGTTAACAAGTCGGTCATGTATATGGACTATGGAGGCAACTTGATAAACCTATTTCTGTTTGGAGGGCTTTTAATTCTATGAAAATTTTATGCACAATTTTGAACGTAAAGAGGATTTTGTGATTTTAACATTAAATAGTACAGGGAAGCATTTTCAAGACTCTTATTGTTTCAAAATACCATGAAGCTTAACACACTAAATTTTTCCCAATTTTGAATCTATATGCAAATATTTGCAGTAATATGCTCAGTTAATAAAAGAAAAAGCATATTTCCTTCACAATTTTTTTTCTTTTCCCCCTTGTGAAACACATTAATTATGGTGATGGCAGAGGAAATGCATACTAGAAAAATAGCACCCTACCATCCCATATAAACATCCTAAACATCAAGAAGACAAGGCCAACAAGAAAAATATTACATAAGATCCATGACGGAACACGAATAACTCGGAGAACTAGGTTGACCGGCAATTGTTACATGACAGTCTGTAAAACCCCCAACACCACCCGGAAATTGATTCCGGTGACATACTACCTATGCACAACAAAACTTTTGCTTTCTTCCCACGACATGGGAGACATTGCCTCTATTTTTTGTTTTCCATTTCCTTCTGCAAAACAGACACCGATATGAAGAACAATTAAATGTTGTTAAATCAAACCACAGAAAGGATTATTTACTGACTAAAATTATTAATAATTTTGGGCAACTTTTGTTTATGTGAAGTCAACATAGTAATTATGTGTCCATTGACTTTCTCTTGATGATGGACAAAGGCATGGGACTCCAAAATCTGATACTTCAAGGTTTTAATTTTGGCAAAATACATACCAAAAGGTTCCAAACAAATAAATAAAAATCTAAAACGATTAAGGAGGTAACAAGTGATATAAAAAAATCTTTGCAATAAGTATTACTCGTAACATGCATAGAATAATCTTTAGAAAAGCAGAAATATAGTTTGGGACCTTTACCGATGTATATCTATGAGATAGGAAACCTCTCATTTACTTTCTTGAGAAAACTACGAACATAAAGCCACCAACTTTCGGGTGTGCCTCGAGGAGGAATGCCATTGCTTGAAAGGAATACACAGAGATCCTGTACAGAAATATGGCACTCAAAAGTTTAAAGATATGGTACGGTTCTTGGTAACATGCTAGCAAGTGGAAAAGTGGAATGTACATTGCACCTGGCACTTTATTTCGACTTGAGATTGGCCTTGAGTTTTTTCAATTGCTCCCCTTGTTGCTAAAGAAACATAAAATCAACAGTTCAACAACAATCAACCAATTATAGATAGCAAAGCTAATGTGAAAAACCATAGATTAATGTGTGTGTGTGTGTGTGTCATAAAACTATGAAACAGTCTCAAACTAATAAGACCTTGTACAATCTCTTCCACGAGCTCTCTGATCTTTCTTGTAGCAGGCACCATTCCATGGCCATCTCATATTCAATTGTGTTAGGCTGAGAACAGTGCGAAGTAGAAACAGCTTGTCTCTGGCAATTTAAAACCCCGAGATCACATTATTATGAACAGCAACGAATTAGAATATGAACAGTCAATAGTGGTATGTGCATGTGCTTGCATGTCTGTGCAATGTACATATACATGTGTTAGGTGTGTGTGTGTGTGTGTGTGTGTGTGTGTGTGTGTGTGAGAGAGAGAGAGAGAGAGAGAGAGAGAGAGAACAGAACCAAGCATACCATCTCCCTTTGCATTTGGAGTTTAATCTTATCAATAGACAAATGGCCAAAAAATGTCGACTGCTTTCCCGGAAAGCTAGGCGGAGGTGCAATGCTTCCAATAAGAGGCCTACAAATAAAAGAATGACAGTTGGTGAATCACAGGGTTTCCAAAAACAGGTAACATTAGAATTGGAGGCTAGGAATCAAAGATATGAACACAAGACACGAGTAATACACGACATAGATATGGCAGGAATATGTCAAAAGATATTAATATATGAACTACACGATCCAAAAATTTGAAGACAAATGGGGAGCCGAATGCTCCCCATTCAAACGATAATGGACCCACTCCATTGCATCATGTGAATGGGGAGCATTTGGATCCCCATTCGTCTTCAAACTTTCAGAGAAATAATAATTTCTCATAATACATTAATGATATATATATATATATATATATATATAATATTTTTTGCCCATTTTGTCCACATTATCAAGAATGAGATAAAGCATAGATTTAGATATTTTTTGTTTTTATTTTCTAATATTTTATATTATTTTTGTAATTAACCCATAATATATTTTAAAAATCCATTGGAATCACATTCTTCTAAGAAAAATAATTACAAAAACTACACCACTGTGTCCTGAAAGTGTCCATGTTGTGTCCCTGCTGTGTCCAAACACCGAAAAGAAATATATGTATATACATATATATTTCAGGACACTTCTAGCCATGTTGGACACATGTCCAAGTCGTGTCCCATCAGTGTCTGACGCCTCCACAGCACCCCTAGGAGAAGTGTACTTCCTGGACTGGAGGAGACTTCCATCCCAAGCTGTGCAGAATATGTAGAAAAAGAACAAGGCAAGGCTGACATTGTATATTTTAAGACATCAAACTTATTTATGAAGTGGGGAGAGAAATAAAATAAGACAAAAAACTTCTTAACCCTAATCATTTGATAAATTACTGGCCATTAAAAGATCATTTGATAATTTAGCTATGCCTAATTCAAGAATATTCTGCGTCAAAGACCAGAAATCTATGCGTTGCTAGAACAGAGGTTCTCTAATAATTCACGCAACTGCTGTGTTAATGGGAGAAAATAATATAAGAGATACCAGTTATGTGCACTGAGAAACAAATTGAGACCCAAAAACAAGAAAAGTGATACCAAGGAACAAGGATGAGAGGTGTATATGGACACCTTTGGTAAGATCAGGTCACAACTGAACAGTTTCTTAAAACCTAATAGTATACCAGAAGTGTAATATGAAAAAGGAGACCAGAATTTTAATATGAAAAATTAAAGCATATTCAAGATTGATGCAGTTAAAATTGCAATTTGATGAAATCATATTGATCTATCTCAAAGACTAAGTTCGTAAAAAGAAACTATGGGAAAAACTCTCGCAAGGGAACGTTCTCAAATAACACATTGACCTAAGGCGGATTTGTTTAATAATCAAAAAGTCTAATGATTCTCCCATGAGTTTAATTTGTAAGAAAAGAAGACAGTAAGACCCGAATAAAATTAAATCCAAGCTAATAATATGTTTAATTAAATATAAGACGGAAAAAGACATAAAATAGCCTAATTAGCTGATGCTGTCACATAAACAATGTCTATGCCAAAGTACTGCGATAGTAATATGAACAATAACTGATATATTATTCATGAACAATAGTGATATATAAATTGATTCTCCTGCATCAAAAATTAAGTGGTGACATACATATAAGAAAGCAAAAAATAATAAAATACAATTAAACACAAATTGATGGCAATTGGGGAAATGCACAGCAAGTTAGCCATGGCAGGTTTAAAGGTACAATTTGAAAGTATTTCAAGGCACCTGGTTGTGCCGAATATTTGTTAGCTTTATTGTCTCCAACATCTTGGGTTCAGATCACCAATGGGGCAAGCATTAATGACAAATTGTAGGCTATCGGGGAAATGCACAGCAAGTTAGCTACGGCAGGTTTAAAGGTACTATTTGAAAGTATTTCAAGGCACCTGGTTGTGCTGAATATTTGTTAGGTTTAATGTCTCCGACATCTTGGGTTCAGATCACAGTTGGGGCAACTTACAGCAAAGGAAACAGAGCAAATGTCAAAGAATAGAAACTGCTAAATGCAATAAGATTACAATGATAGACAAAAGTAGGCTAGTGCAACATGTGTTTGAAAGAAAATAAGGTTTTTACAACACCACCTATTATCGTGGAACAACTGACAGCCAGGTCTTTTAAAAACCAAAAAATGCAAAGCAGACAAAAATGCAAAACAGGTCTCTGAAAAATGTTACTGAGCCCTGCTAATTGATACAAGGCATTGCTATTCGGTGGACTTGTCAACATACCTCCCATCTGATAGCATTAGGCAACCCTCATCCAATTTTCTAATGACTCCCTCTGCTGCTTCCCGAGTTTTGAAAATAACAAGAGCTTGCCCTACAACACAAGAAATCTACCAGGTTAGGCTTGACTAATCCACAGGCAGTTAAGAATATTTAACTTGATCTTTTTATTTACATTTAACATACGATGCATAGAGATTAACTACTCAAGACATTACTTCTTCACTTGTTTCCATACCAGAATGTGGGCTAGAAATTATGGTGCGCTGGAGCATCTTTGCTGTGCAACTTTCCTCGAAGCCATGCCAAATAATATCCTGAAATATAACATACTTCATTGTTGTAATAAAGATGTATACAAGTTTAGAAAAGTAAAATTACCTGCAAATTTGGCATCCATAACTGCTAATTTCAATATGAAACAGAACAATTTATTTGCAATTTAAGATAAATAAATAAATATATATATATTTATAGATATATATATATATATAACAGTTTGGTGCAATTACATATTCTGGGACAAATGTAGTCTGCATCAATAGCTATTATTGCATCATTGCACTCTACATGTCATTTGGAAATAAAACACAATTCTAGCAGAAGAGACTAAATTTAAAGAAGAATATGATGAAGAAAGAAGACCCAACCCATTAAAACAAAATTGCAATGAATCATTGCCTCATGTAGTGAAAAAAGCTCAGGCTGCCACGGGTGAGACAAGGGTTCAAATGCGAGGCAGTCAATTTGTGCAAATAATGCCAAAGACTAGGTTTGTTCCACATCCACCTCTCCACCCATGAAACCCAGCATCGGGTAATAGGCTTTTTCAATTACAATAAAATGGCAGCCCTAAAAATTCAACCATTTTTTTTTTCACTTCATGAGACAGACAAACTTTGTTAATCCCAAACAATGTCTTGGGCTTCGAACTAGACCCCAAACCATACTTCAACGAGTTGGGAAATCATAATCATCTATTCATCTGCCAGCCAAGGAAGAAGCTTCAAAATATTTTTCACGACATAAATCAATCCACAATCCAATATAAATTTTAGAAATACAAGAAACAAGTTAAAATAACGGGTTAGGATTAATTCACCAAAGGTTAAAATAACGGGTTAGGATTAATTCACCAAAGTATGTTGTCATACAAGGCCCAGTCATGAGATGGATCTAATAAACTCTTATGAACAAGACCCAATTTGTTTCTCTTTCTTCTTTTTCTTTTTTCTTTTTCCCACTGGGTGACTACCCCATTTTATAGCCGCTGCACAGCTTCTTGTTTACGTAGGAGCTATAAATATTTCAATCATATTTGCTGTGATGTTCATGAATGGTTCAGAATATTACAAAGATTTTCATCATTGGAATGTTGGGGATGGGGTTACTTGCATGGTTTGTACAAGTATTTTTGTTTCACTAATTACTACTATTCTAGTTATGTCATGACATGGGATTATTTGGACCACAAGATCTTACTTGTTAATAGTTACAAATTAATGGTCCTTCCTAAACAAGTTAATATGGAAACATCCCCTCTCCTGAAGATACACCATGGGTAGAAGCTAACCAATATCTCCCAATCCTGTAAGGTGTCTCACAAACTGTACATCCCAGAACACCCTCCCACTACAAAGGCAATAGTAGTTAACCACCAAAGCCTCCTTGTCCACGGCAATCAATAAAGATGACGAAAGCTGGACGCTAACGAATGACCCTAGCACCATCCATCCAAAAGCCCACGCCCCTCCCGCTCCTTGCCCTAAACCGAATGTGGTTGGAAAATTCATCCCACCCATTTCGAATGGCTTTCCAAACACCAATCCCTGCCGGCTGCCTCGCCTCTAAAGAGCACCATCCACCCCTGCACTCCCAAACTTGCCGGCGACTACCCTCCTCCATTACTTGGGACTACCCACCCCAAATCTCCACAATCATTTCCCCAACAAGGCCTTGTTGAAAGTATCCAACCTTCTGATGCCCAGCCCGCCTGGCCTAATAGGCCTACAAACTTGCTCCCAAATCATAAGGTGGTATTTGAATGCATAACCCAAACCACCACACAAGAATTTTCCCTGGAGCTTCCCAATCCAACTCACCACATAAATGGGAACCTGAAAAAGGGAAAGGTATTAGGTTGGAATATTTAAAAGAGAACTCTTCATAAAAGTTAACCGACCCCCCTTCAAAAGATATTGCTTCTTCCAACCCGCTAACCTCCTCTTGCACCACTCCACCATCGGGTCCCAAATGGAGACCCTCCTTGAGCAGGCACCCAATGGTAAGCCCAAATACAACATAGAGAACAACCCAATACCGCACCCCAAGATGTTAGCCAACCTGGCCTTATATGCAATCTCCCCTACCAGGACGATCTCGCTCTTCCCAATGTTGATCTTTAGCCCAGATACAGCCTGGAAGCAAACTAGCACACATCTCAGGTATCTCAACTGCACGACATCCACATAGCAGAAAATAATGGTATCATCTGCAAGAAGTGAGAAATCGAAATCCCTAACCCAGCTCCTTGGCCCTCCCCATCAATCTACTAAGAGCCTCTACCACCAGGATGAATAAAAATAGCGATAGAGGATCTCTCTGTCTCAACCCTTGTGAGCTGGCAAGAAAACCAGGCAGAGACCCACTGATCACATCGAAAAGCTTGTCGGGGCAATACAAAACCATATCCATCTCCCCTAGGTATCATCCCCGATGTCCATTCTCTCCAAGACATACAACAGAAAGCTCCAACTCACATGATCATAAGCCTTCTCTACATTTAGCTTACACACCACTAGACAATCTGGTATCCATGCACTCACTCACCAGCAATTAAGGCAGAATTCAAGATTTTCCTACAACCAACAAATGCGTTCTAAGAAAATACACCCCTCAAGCGCAACGCTAGGCCTTTAGCTGCTAGCTTGTACATGATCCCCACCCCTCAAAACTCTCATTTTCTTTCAAAGATTCAATCTTTATATATTAAAACGGTCTAGTGACTTAAGAGGTACCTTGATTGAGGTATTTTCATTCAAATATGCAATCTTTACTAATTAAAACACTCTTTATGACTTCAAAGGGAACTCGAATAAGTTTAAGCTAATATGTCTAAAATCCTACACGTCCATAATGTCTCCTCTGATCACTTTCAATTCTTCTCAAAACTAGCGTGAGTATGAAATTGGTGAAAAGGGGCCATAATGTCTCCTATTCACACTTTCCAATCCAGGTAGAGGGGTTGATAATTAGGAGGCTTGAACTATTCAACAAGGCCTTGTTGGGCAAGTGGCTTTGGAGATATGGGGGGAAGAGGACTAGATTGTGCTAATTTGCAAGAATTTCTTTATGCTAATAACTAGGGCTAGTTAAATTTGACACGACTTGCGCCTAGTACGACATTAGCAGCATTGCGTTAACCTTAATCGTCTTCGAGCAATAATCGCGACAATCTGATTAACCAGTTATCAAAAAAAAAAAATAAATAAATAAAAAGAAAATTAAAAGGTGCTTGGATTTGGGGAACTAAACACGTTTTATCCCAAACTGACCATTTTTATTAACAGTATTTGGTCAACCAAAACCAACCCATATATGTTTTTGCATACATTTATCCACAGTTTTCATGGAAAAGAAAAAAGTAAGTGCTCTAACAACTAAATGCAGGAAATAAATTCATCTAAATGACATAATGAAAACTTGTGTCATATGTGTTAAGGTTTTTATGCCCTCCAAAGCCAATGAATGTAATATGACTTTTATTTAATGAAATCTGATTTATTTATCTTCATATAATATTGATTACTGTATTGGGAAGATCAAGAGTTTTTTTATCACGATTGTCCATTAATTATGATTGGATAAATTCATGTGCACAGGCGATAAAAGAATGTGTGCTGGAGCTATGAATTTATCGGTATTTGTAATTATAAATATTCGTACTCTATGAATAGAAATGGACATTCTATTCCTCAAGTATAACCATTGGTTTCTAGCTCGGTTATATTTGATCCAAGGAACCTGATCAGTTATATTTAGTGGAATTAAAAATAGTTTAATAGAAGGAATTCTAATAGGATAAGTAGTTAGCAAGCTATTAGAATACTCTATTTGAAGTCTTGGATAAGGATTAGCTAAACTGCCACGGGCTTAGAATTTCAGCACCAATCTAGCTACTCCCGTGCGGCACCAAGGCGTTGCTTCTACTTTCGCAAGGACTTGGTCAGCCTAACTTCCGTGCACACCTTAGCCAACACACTCCCCTCATGCGCTTACTAGTGTTGTAGTGGCCCTCGCCCTCTCCTCACTTGGCTTGCACACTCACACACACTAAGGCACTTAAGTTGGCAAGGAAAGAACACTTCTATTACTTCAAAGAATGTTTTGTACAAGGCTAGCACTAAAACTCTCTACAAGGAGCTTGTCGCTGGTCGTGGACTTGACTATGAAGAAGGGAGTTGGCCATCCCTGCACAAACTGGTCGGGACCTGGAACCGTTCCCCTGACAAGGCCATGGCAGGCCGAAACCAGTCAGCATGTATCCTTGGGAGGGCAGGTCGTGGTGGCTGACCAGAGCGCTTGCGCGAGCTGAAGCAACGTAATGGTGACGCACGGGCCGTGCCGCTGCGCCAAATATCAGATCCCACTCCGAATTCAACATGGAAAATGAGTAGTAGATTAAAAATGAATTTGTGGAGAATAAGAAGAGTGTTCAATTGGAACTCTACCTCTATATAAAGGGTATGTAATGGTTTGTTCCATATATCCAGTAATTGTATTTTCAGCAATACAATATACATCTCTCTCTCATTATTCTACAATTCTAAAGATCGGAAGCCAACACTTTTCACTGCTCGGAGATTTTCCAGACTAAAAATAGGAGTGAAGATCTGGAAGGTACCACAGGCCGTCGCAGATCAATGACTGTGGATTTCATATCGAGCAATCAAATCGATTATCAGTGATAGGCAATTATTCAATTGTCTAAGAGATAAGTTAATCAAACCTTCTATGGTAATCAATGATTAATCATGATTTGCAAAAGATGATTGAGACGAAACATCTTCAAAACTGACGAAGCGAATGTTGGTAGGAGAAAAGAAGAGTTACGGTCATCCCTTGTTGGTCAATTCGACCCAGGGAGGTGGGTAACCTGGTGCAGATTGGAGAGTGGGACAAAAGTCACAAAGGTCTCAAGTGCGGTAGGAGTTATTAAAAGTAATAAATAACTATCTTTCATGCTTTCATTAGACAAACGTTCCCGTTCTAAGTGGGGGACAGTTGGCATGTCACATGGGGGATCACCTGGGAGGAA